TGTACTTGACACTCTAACAGAATACGACTCTAGTTTCCTCAGCCACATACTTTATCCAAGGCCTGTTCAGAGGCCCATAGTTGCTCTGAGCTGGATGAGGAGGACATCAGTGTAAGGATGTCAAGGCCCCATATGTATTAACTTTAACTGTCTATGTTATTATTCCCCCCCCCCAACACACACACATTTTGATCCTAGGTGTAGCACCATATCCCAGCCTCCTAGCATAATGTGTTTACAAAAAGCAACCGTGTCACTCAGGGGCGTCAAAGAAGCCGGGGAAATGCCTGCTCAATGGATGCTCGGGGCTGCCGCTATAACAGCACTCGAAGCCCCCCCCCCCTCCAACCCCCAGTACCTGCATCTCTGTATACAGACCTGTAACTCCATAAGCGTAAGCACCCTGCACATGTGACTGCAGAAGCTCAAGCACTGGAACTGCAGTCCAGACTAACAGAGGGAGGAGAGGACTGCAGTGAAACAGCACACAGACGAGAGAGAGAGAGAGAGAGAGAGAGAGAGAGAGACATAGAGAGCGAGGGAGGGAGAGGTGAAGAGAGAAAAAGGGAGAGTTACTACTTACATTCTTCAGCTTCTTGCTGCAATCGGAGACCCTGGAGAAAACAGAAGGAGGCAAACAGCATTACCCGTCAAAGGCACACGGCACAGAGCTTTCCGGAACCCCGGAGAGGGGGGCGTGCCTTGCGTGAGGGATGCTCACGTAATCGAAACGCGTCAGTCTGGTGTTGCGATCCTGCTGTGGACTGGAGTATCAGAGCAGCAGGAAGGCAGAGTCCCCCCTCCCCCAAACAGGGCTACTGCTGCGAGGCCAATCAGCAGCTGTCAGCTCATTCAACTTCAACTCAAATTAGCATATCACAGGCTGCTAATTGATACATTAAATCAACAGACCCCACGCATATACATCGTCATTTTCAATTATGTCCATTTTTAAGGCGAGAGTGTTTCACCAAAGCAGAAGCTGACCCCATCCTGGGACTCAAACCAACTCCCTCAATCACCCACCACCAGCTAAACTGATCTAATTCATATCCATATGCTGAGTCGTCACTGTGCATGAGGTCTCTGTTGCTTATCATGTCACATGACACGCAGTGACTGCGGTAACCCGATCTGGAGTGAGGCAGTGAGGCAGTGAGGCAGTGAGGCAGTGAGGCCACAGAGTATCAGCAAACAGGCTGATGCTGCCTCCGCCGCCTTCCCATAAGTCTCTTAGCAGAGGGTGCATCCACCATGCTGTAGTAAACAAGCGAGTGGCATTTGGCGTCTGCTGCAGTGTGGTGTCCACTGCACAGACACCACTGCACAGACACCACTGCACATTGGTTTGCAAACACTTCAGCCGCCTTCTGAAGGCGCCGCAGGTTCAGCTGGCGACTGGCGGTAATGGCCAGAGGCGCTCTGAGAGCCAGAATCTCTTTCTTTCCGCGGCACCTTACGTGGCCCTGGCGGATTCCTCGCGGTATTAGATCACTCATTCTGATATCGCCTCCTCAATCCTTGCAGTCACTCTCTGGCGTGACGCTCGTCTTGGAGACGGTTTCCAACAACACAAGCGCCATGATCCGTGTCATGGGCCCGACCCTGCTCACCCCCCCCCCCCCCCCGGTCTTAGTGACCCTTCACTGGCAGGTTTTGGCGGGAACGCGGCGCAGTCTCGGCAGCTGGCCCCGGGGTCGGCATAATAAAATCCCAGAACCCTGTTTTTAATCCAAGTGGAAGAATGTTCTAGATACAGTGAGAGTACTTCACAGCACTCTGTCATCTTATAAATTAAAGGGATTTATACTTATTTAAAGCTTAAATTAAAACCCCATGGACTGCTTTGGGTCAGTAATAAGCTAGTACTTTCCCTCTGGTGGATCGAGGGTGATGTAGACAGCAGAGCAGCTGGAAAGAAGCTTTAAATTTCGGTGCTTTGACGTTCACAGCCTCTTCGTGAACAGAGGTGGAGGGGGGTTCGATGTGCTGTGGCGGAGAGGCCGGCTTGTCAGAGCCCAGAACCGGCACGTCTGCCTCTCCAGCGGGCTCCAGGCTGCAGGTTCCGACGTAAGAGGCGGGTCGGCTCACTCTTGCTATGAGCCTTGGGTCACGTGACTGACATGGTGGAACGAGGACATTCTGATAGTACCCCTACTCATCATCCAGAAAAAAATCAAGTGGACGGACCGGCCTGTTAACATACATTGATAGCAACATAATGGACTCCCCCCTCCCCCTCAATCAAAACAAAACCTGTCATTAATTTTCCATTGTTTGGAAAACACTTTAGGCTGACTTACAGCACAAGCGCTATGAAGCGTATGTATGACAGACACCCACATGATAGTGATTGGGGGGCGTGTGTGTGTGTGTGTGTGTGTGTGTGTGTGTGTGGGTTTGTCTGTGTCTCTATGTGTGTGTGTGTGTGGGCGTACGCACATGTGTGTCTCGGTGTGTGTGTGCATATGCACATGTGTGTTTCTGAGTACGTGTGTGTGTGTGTGTACGTGCGTGTGTGTGTAAGTGTGCATGTAAGTGCGTGTGTAAGTGTGCATGCCGGATCACTTACCTGACGTTGGTGCGTGTGGAGTCCTGCAGGTCCCCAGCGTCAAAAAGCTGTGACCCCTTCAGCCCGAGCTCTTCACAGCCCCGCAGGAAGACAGCCAGGTTGTCCTGAACGAACAGACATGGGGGGGTGACCCTCACAATGCCCCTCGAGTCACAGACGCGGCCCAGAGCGAACCAGCGCTCTACCACTTTGCGGAAGCTGCTGGAAACATGGCGTCCTTCTCAGGGTATCCAGCTGCCTTTCGAGTCCCTGCAACCTGACCCAGATTCTCTCTCCCTCTCTCTCTGGCTTCTCAGAAGCCTGGCCCGGTCCCTCCGGGGGCCTGAACAAGCACAAAGGTGTTACAGTTTTCCTGCCACAGCCATTGTTACACTCATTTGCAGGTATTAAGTACCTTTTCCTGGCTTCCTGTCTGCGTGCCGATCTGCGTGACTCTATTCCCCAGGTGACGACTCGCATTAAGACCCGAGGTCACCTCAGGCAGCCAGACTATTGGGACACTACCCTCCCAGGCAAAGGGAGGGCGTGACTGTTGCTAGCCCACAAAGTGAGGTAACAGGTACTTTTTATCCTTGTGTTATACCAACAGCTGGGGGAGCTTTAGGATTTTAAAAGATTAATTTATTGCTCCTGCAGTCATGTGACTATCTCCACTCACCTGGGTGGCTAACGCCGGATTAGCAAATTAGCTGTACCAGGGAAGCACCGTGCCAATGCAAACTCCCTAGCAGCGCTGTTCCATTACAGCCCAGCGCTGCACCTTACCATCCCAACACCCTCCAGGAACCACCAGCAGGGGCTCCAATAAGATTCACACAAACAGTGTCCGGAAAAATGGATCAAGACTAGCTTCGGTCAGAAGTAAGGAAACAAGTCTTTACACAAAAATAAACCGTCTAATCGTGCACTAGGAGCATATCTCTCTGATTTAATTCCAGACAAACAGGGCTACAAAGATTCTCACGAACCCCCAAAGGAGGGGGGGGGGTGGGTCATGCTTTTTGCTGTGGGTGATTTAATGCACGGGGTTACCCAGGCCGAAGCCCAGGGGCCTCCACTAAAAAGGGTCTCAACTATCCTTGTTTTGAATTTTAAACCTGGAGTTGCCACCTGTCCCATATTTTACGGGATTGTCCAATATTGGAAAACAAAATGAGACTTATCATGTATTTTTACTTCCAATTCCCCCCATCACCCCCCCCGACCCCGATCAACAATTCTTTTTACATTTTTAAAAATTTTTCTATCGAGGTACCTGTAAGTCGAGATCTCTTTATTGTGGCTGTCCCCCCACCCCAGTCTACAGCAGAAAACAGCAGGGGGGGGGGGGGGGCTCTGACAGCCCAAACAGCTTTTAACACGTTAATGCGCCTCTGCTTCTGTGCGTCTTAAGGGGCCCAGGGCCCGACGGGGCCATAAAGCGGCGTGACAATCTCAGGATGCGGGGCGTGTCAAACTCCCTCTAAGAAAACAGGGGCCCGCTGAGATCGACGAGGCGGCTCGCCAACACTTACATAAAGCATTACGACACGGCGGAGGGCAGCGAAGGGGGGGTGCCGTGTGCAGGAAGCGGTGTTCTGAACACCGGGCGGGGTGGCCGGACATGCTGGAACGCGGAACTCGGGTTCAGGGGGGTGCGTCACAGAGGCGACGGTGCGCGCGGAACTGCATGGGCTGCGATTCTGGGGCCTCCAGCCCTGACTTGGCACAGCCAGGTGAGGAGCACCCCTCCCCCCCCAAAAGAAACACAAAGAGCGGGGGCGAGTGATTCCAAGCCTCAGGTGCAGAGGATATATTGGCTTTTGTGGGCAGAGGTGTTTTAATGGTTAGGGAAGCGCAATTGTAATTGAAAGATTGCAGGTTCGAATCCCCGACCAGCAAGGCACCACTGAGGTACCCTGAGCAAGGTACCGCCCCCCAAGCACTGCTCCCTGGGTGCTGAATTAGCTGCCCCCTGCTATGTCACATTGTCACATTAAATGCAGAGGACACATTTCGTTGTTGTGCACTGTGTGCTGTACTGTGTTGACAATGACCACTGATCACCAAATAAAAATTATAAATTCTTTTAATTCATTATAAATGAGGCACTAATTACTCTTGATTGGGCTGTCGGCTGACCGAAAGTAAACCCAAATATATTAGCTGAGGAATATATATAATTCCTATAAATGTGTGTGTTACGCTAATTATGTGTTAGAGTTACACTTGTAAATGTAAATAGGAATATGTATTAATCAAGGCTAATTACGACTGGAACTAGCATATGGATCTGTGAGCCCCTGAATGTACCAATCCTGACATAAACAGGGTCAGACAGACACCCATTCCAGCAGGAAATTAAAACAAAATTAATTTATTTATTTAGCAAATTACTGTGACTCCAAGTCGGATGGCAAGACCATGATCGCTTCAACGAAACATTTTCTCATAGTTTTTTTTTTATTTTTTATTTGGGTCAGTGAACTTTCTGTTTTTCTGACTTTCACTGAGATATGAAACCCTATAAAATATAAAAAATGTGTGACCAACTGAGTTCTGTGACTTGGATGAGCTTTACTGTAATAACAGTCAACAATCCTCTGTCCTCTCTGATAACATCAGCGCAGCACAGGGTCCTTCGAAGAACCGCTCAAGGATGGACCGAAATGACCCCGGAGACGGTCTGAAGGAGTCCCACGAAAACGACGCAACACGAGCGGCAGGAGGGGCAAACTGTACACTCACTCCATAAATCTGTCCCCCCCCCAGGACCAAAAGGGACTCTGCTACACAGCAGAAAGAGAGGCATCTGTCGCCGTCTGATACAGAACACCGAGGGAATTCTATTACATGGAAATAGTAAATTCACAATAATTAGTACATGAAAGGGGAGATTATTGGCCCTCTGGAGGCCAAAGGCCCATAAACATGGCAGTAAAGCGTATAATGTACATTAGGGAATAAAAACCAGCACAGGGACGAAGCAGAAAGCAGACAGAAGAGTGGAAAGCGTGGCTGGGGACACTCACCAGTCCCGCGATGGGCGTGGGAAGCCTGTTGATCTTCTTGACCAGGCCGGGCTTGACGGCGTTCAGCAGCCTGTGGGGAAAGCAGGGGTCTCAGGCTGGCAGGACCTGGCGCTATCTGAACCACCGTAACCCCGAACGGGCACTGCCCTTCATGTCTTTACGTGGTTTATTATTTGTATTTTTTTTTGCATTTCCTTCCCACAACGTCCAGTTCCAAGGCTTAAATCAGCAAGGGGGGGTGGGGACGGGGCTGGGGGGGATTTCCTGAACGGAAACCTGGAGACTTTTCTCTCTGTGCCGGGAGAGAGAGACACGGGCCGCACTCCTGAAAGCACAGCGTGTCTCCTGTTTCTCTCTGTGCGGCGCGGCGCTGCTGATACGCTAATGAGCGCTGCTAACGAGTGATGCTGGGGGTGGGGGGCGGGGAGGGGGGATATCTGTGGGAAAAAGCACTGAATTATCCCTTTGACAAAAAAAAAAGAGCTAACAAACACAGAGGCCAAGGCTCCCAAGCCTCCCGCAGAGCCCCTGCTTTTATCTGAACATTTCATATCCTGGAAACTTAATTCATGTCGTCACCATTCTGCCCAGGGACAGGTCTAGTGTTTCTGGTGCTCCGCTCAAACTGTCCCCCCCCCCCCACCACCCCCACAGTTTCAAAAATGAAACAGCTCGCAGGCAGAGTCAGAAGATTGTAGCTAGCTAGCTGGGTAGCAGAACATGAGACTTCAGCGTCTCTTAAATAAGGAAGGCATTTATTTAATAATTAGTGTAGTGACTATTTCTGGCCAGCAGGGTTTGAGTGCTGCTAAACACCACTGCTCAGTACGCTCCCATCCATTGGTAAGAGATGGAAGAGATGGAATCAGCACTAGATGGATCCAGAGAAACACGGATGCAGAGATTTCGCCCACAACAGACAGGAATGCTCCAGTGAGAATCACATCTCCTTAACAGCTTCCTCGGATCAGAATGAAAATCCCTTCCCAGCGAGTCGACACCTCCCTCAGCTCCGGACGGCTCTGGGAAATCACCACGGATACACTCAACCCAATTAAATCGTCTCAGCTTTTCTGGCCTGACGAACGAGACTAATCGAATGAAACAAAATACAGCAGTTTGTAATTATAGGGCGTAGAGTGACAAGCCAAGTGACAACACACGAAATAACACAAGGACCAAAAAATGGCATGTTTGACAAGGAGGTGGGCGGGGCAGCCGGGTCCAATTTCACCGGGATGCCATCATCGCACACGCCTCGCCATCGCCACGGAGACGGGGAGGAGCATACATGTCGTCCGGGGAGGTGGGCACGACTTGCAGATACGTTTGGCACCTGTGCCCACATTTCATATTCGTGAGATCACATCCGGGCCGTGGTTCTGTACAGAAACTTCTAGATCGCTTGCGTGGAAACAGACGTCAGATTTTAACCTTGGAATGCATTTCAGGAAGCCCTTTTTATTTTTGGGAAACAGCCCATAGGGGAGTTATGAAACACGATTACCAAAATTAACACGCGATGAGCTGTTTCTTAAATTCATAGCATTAAATCAGAGGAAGTGAGTGAATCGGGCCCAGCGGTCCGAACGGACGCACCTGCTGAGGGCTGCAGATGACCTCGCCCGCCCCTGGAGACGGACAGCCGGTCCATCAGGACCACGACGTCTCCAGAGCAAAACCCAGCTTTGTTCCTCAATGCTTTTTATGTTGCCGTTTCTGAAACGAAGTGAATATGGACCTGTGCCGCGCATCAACTGACCTTCCATAAAGGTTTGGTCTAAACGTGGTGAGAGGAGATGAGAGTGTCCAAGGCAGCACCGTGGACAGGATGCCAATCCATCAGACTGCAGGGACAACAATCCGTGCAAAAATCACACATAAGAGTCACAGTGACAGCATAGAAGGTAAAAGCTCATACGTATTACATGTCATTTACTGTACGCATCGAAAGGCCATTATCTTGCGTCTCATTTTGTGTTTGTTATGCGTAATGTGTCATTTCAGGCAAATGCAATTAAAAGCTTAACGTGGTATTTTCGTCAAGTATGAACTGGGATCGTGACCTAAGGGCTGCGGGGACATGCCGGGGCGGGTTGGTGTGTCTCCATCAGCGCGAGCGCGTGTGAAAACGGCGCCGGGAACAAAAAACTCGGATTTGGGCTCAGGTTGGTGACTTGGCCAGCGAACGAGTCCATGGATCCGACCGTCGTCGGCGAGAGGAATTACAGGAGACTCTGGATGCTTACGGCTTCCTTTTTTCGCCTGTATCACAAAGCATTTAATCTTTATGCCCTAATAAACGTATCGCCCCACGCTCCTGTAAAGCACTTTGGGGCAACTGTGTTATGAAAGATACTACATAACAATAAATTAAACTGAATTGAAACTTACCACTTTTCTCCAATATTCAAAACATCACGTTTAGCTTCTACAAACTACTTTAAAAAACTTATCTCTGAATGAAACTACGACTAAACAGAGCTTTTAACAAAATTGTCTGAAGCTCCAGAGGAAATGTCCGGCTTTGTGCTGGACGTCCTCCTTCCCGTGAGCGATGAGAGCGACATTGGGCCGTTCGCCGCGACAGAGAGGGCGCCTCTGTCGTTCCAAATCCCTTCCATCGTTTCAGGAAAAGACAGGATCTGTCCCATACGTCGGGACACCCAGGCGGGGCCAGAGGGGGGCCAGTTAAGCGGGGCGCAGAAACGGGAGCCCAGTGAGGCTGTGAAAAGGACAGGGGGGGTTGCTGAGATTGTTGACGAGCTGTACACACAGGAAGGAACTTCTTGCATGCTTTGTACGGCAAGTGTTTTGACCAAGGCAGGAAGGTCAGCGTTTCAGAGGGTTCGGTACCCACCCTGCGCTCTGTGGGCAGAGTCTGTACGTTTTATTTGGATTTTCCCCACTTGGCGGGTTACAGTTTATAAATTCCCTGTAGTTGTTGACTATGAGCCCTGTGATGAACTGGCATCCTGTACAGGGTGTTCCCCAGCCTCGTGCCCAATAAATTATGGGATAGGCTCCGGGTGACCCATGCCCGGGAAGCAGTTGTGGAAGATAGATGGTCATGACGGCTCAGAACATTGCGAGAACAGACCATGAAGGACAGTGACTGGTTAACAGTCCAGATGTTGTCTATAATGACCCTTTCAGCAGCAGCTTCGTGAAGGACATCTAAGGTCCTCGTGGCCTTGGTGTGTGGAGAGCTTCATGCAGCAAGCGAGACTCACCACGGCTCCCACACTTAGGCTGATCGTCCGATGAGGCATTTTACAGGAAACAGACGGACAAACCCCAAGACAGCCTCCGCTGCCAAATCCTTGAGAAATTAATTCTGGCAAATCAGTGAAAGGTCAAGAAAACTGGCGCTAAGTTCAGCTGCTGCATGGAGGACAACCAGGCAAACAAGCGCAGAAGGGAGTTTGATATTGGTGGGGGGCACAATTTAATACTTTAAATGTAAAGGTCTGATTTTTACGGGGATGAATGAAGCCAAATTAAATTGGTGGGGGTACACTGATCCCCTGCACCCCCCCAGGTCTTACGACCCTGCAGACAACACTAAAAGACAGAGGGAATCACACTATCATTTCAGTTTGGGACTTTCACCTTTGACTGGCGGGGTACACCTTCCCAGTGCAGTGGGGTACACCTTCCCAGTGCAGTGGGGTACACCTTCCCAGTGCAGTGGGGTACACCTTCCCCACGCTCACCAAGAGAGCTAAGCAGGTCACCCCAATCTTTACAAGCATCCATCTTCCATTTAAAAAAAATAATTATTAATTTAGCAGAGGCTTTCATCCAAAGTGAAATTCATTTTCTCTCAAACGATCCCTGGCTTAAGGTCTTTGCTAAGGGGCCCGACGGCAAAATCAGTCAGCCAGCCGCGGGATTTGAACCAGCAACCATCCGATCACAGGCACAGAGTCTGTTAACCCACTGTGGTGCACACAGTGATTTATCGGGCGTAGGGTCCAGGAGGGGTCTGGTGCCCGTATCAGCAGCCGAGGAACACCCCAGATGACACACAAGTGCACTGCACTTAATAACTCATCACACTGGGAGAAATCCAGCTCAGCACTGGGTGAATATGTAAACGATGGCTGCTGTTGCTGCTGTCTTCCCCTTTTCTCTGTTGTTGTCCTGTATAAACGATTCAGGAATGTATCACAACACAAGCATGTAAAGGTGCCTTGAGAAAGGCGCTATATAAAAATAACCGGAAATTGAACCACATACCAAGTGAGGGGTAAGATTCACACCTTAAAGGTACAAGGCAACAGCGCCACCCACTGAGCCACCAAGCCACCTTCGCCGCTGCGTTTTTAGGAATACGGGCAAAAATCGATTACTGATCCAAGCCCAAAGTGAACTTGCTGTTGTGGCGAAATCCCCATGAAACCGTTAACTTCTGAAGCGACCTTAGTGTTGACGAGGGCACATTTCTCAGCCCTGAAGGACCAGGCCACAGTAGCATGAGTTATAAAGCTCCAGAGAGATCACACTGCCCCCTGGAAGCGTCTTCCCGGGGTGGAACGCCGGCCTGGACTCACTCGCAGAGCAAGATGCCATTTCCCAGGCTACCGCGGAAGTCCTTGTCTGCGAAACGCCGGCCGGTGACTGCCTGCAATGCGAAGAGAAACAAAGAAGATATCTCAGACCACACCACCATTACCACATGCTATCCAACCAGCTTGTTCAGAAGAACATTCTAGATCAGGGGTGGGCAATCTTATCCGCAAAGGGCCGGTGTGTATGCGGGTTTTCGCTGCAACTCTCTAATTTGGTCACTAATTAGAGGACTGATTGGCTGAAGAGTCCTCACACCTGGGTTTGAACAGCTGACCTACAGGTTATCCCAAAAACCTGCATACACACCGGCCCTTTGCAGATAAGATTGCCCACCCCTGTTCTAGATCAATGGTTCTCAACTGGTTTATCCTCATGACCGACATTTTCCTTGGTAATTAAGTCACAATCAAGTCATGACGTTTCATTCTGAACCAAAAGTATTTCACAAAAAAATAATGGGGTAATTGTAAATAGGACAGTAAACAGTAGCATGATGTCTTCATAAACTGTTAAAAAACAAAAATATCTAACAGTTTTTTCATGACCACACACTCAACCCAACAAAAAACAGCCCCGCGATCTGCTTTTGAGTTGCCTCCCAACTGTTGAGAATCATTGTCCTAGATGAGCCCCAGGGTCTCTGATGCATACTGATGGAGGAATGTCTGGCAGCAGAGCTCAGGAAAGGTGAGCGCAAACACTCCCTCTAATCGCCCGTTTGTTGACAGCGTGATGCGTGTTGAGTTGCAGTGAAAGTGAACCTCTGCTTGATCTGTGCTCATAATGTTTTTCCCTCCCGAAACCAATCATTTGCTGTCAGTGACAGTTGGGTCCTCTCGTGTCTGTACACGCATTCGATCTATCTCTCATACATTAAAGGCAGTAACACGTCGCTTTGATCTGTGTGGTTCCTTAACAACGCACTTCTCAACACTCACAGTTTGAAGTGCAGGCTCTTCAGTGAAACACACTGCGACGTGACCCACTTTGGTGCTCAGGTCATCCCACTGTGGGCCCAACAAACAGATTCCCGTTTTCTGCTCTACAGTCTTGTAGTCTTATTTTCTAATAAGCCGCTTACATCTTCTCCATAAAACATGCGCACAGGACCTACAGAGTAACATCAGCGAGGCCATTAATTGGGGCAAATCTAAGACTTGGATGCAGATGACAGGGTCTCTCTTCCCCCAGTCCCTGCTTTTGCAGACTTCCTGTTTTCATTTGTCGTCTGAGAAGATCTGGGGCCCTTCCAGAGCATTCCCAGACACACCAGGCCCTAACCTGCACTTATAAATTCCTCCTTTATATTATCCCCAGTTGTGTCATCCACACCACACTACTGTACAGAGAAATACTTCTTACAAATATCCAAATGTACAGCAGAGCAGCAGTAAAATATCCCCTGATAAGTTGGAGATTAATTAACAAAATAACATAAAACACACAAAAGCATGTATTTGCTGCTACCTTTGGAAGCTGCTTTGAAACTAGTTTGTCCATTTTTTTAAGTCATTATTCACACATCTGCATTCAGAAGGACACAATTAGATAAGAATGTTTACCAGTAACACCATTTCTGGAGTGCCCAGCAAAACCATCAACCAAAATAGACGTTGAACGGCAGTTTAAAGTTTAACGGTGGCCTGTGGGCAGATCGGTGTGTCGTTTACCCAAGTTCATCATCTGTAACATGAGCTGTTACCACCATAAACAAGGAAATACCACTTGTGACATGGAAGAACTACTGTTGGTTGAAAATTAAGCATGTGTAGGTTATTTTCATGAAAAAACTACTGATATTGTTTCCTTGTTAGTATAGTGGTTAGTGTCTCTGCATATTATGTGGAAAACCAGGATTCGATTCCGTACGGAGAAGTGACCTTACGCCTTACAAACTTCTCCTTGGGACTGAAAGTTTCTCTCCTCTTCAAAGTAAAATATACGTGAACTCTGGAGTTTATATTAAACTTGCTGTTGCTTCCTGCAGAGCAGTTGTCCAAGTAGAGCAGCTGTCTGTCAGTGTGCCAGTGCTGAAATGGTTGACTTGCACCTGTCACTGCATGGCTGAGTATTACCCAGCGAAGCCGGCTGACGGTACGGGCCTCCTGATGTGACATGACGCTGCGTTCCAGGATGAAATGCAGGGAAAACCCACACACCGTTTCCAGAAGTTCACAGTTTGCCCTGCAGTGGATATGCAAGAAATTCGGAAGCGATTCAGGTAATAAGCTTAGCTTCATGTATCCATGAGGTCTGCTTGTATGACAGGCTGCTTTTGTTTCAGTCCTGAGAGATGCCAGTATGTGTACCTCAGGTTTCCGAAATGCCGGGTGGGCTGATGTTCTCGTTTAACCCACATCCGGAACGTCTGCGACTCCCATCTCGCATTCAGGTTCTGGCTGGGGCACAGCAGCGGAACAAAAACCCCGAGACATTAAGTCATCCACTCTCACTCCTTTTGGGTCCCTCTCGTCATGCGTCTCTCTGGAGACAGGAGCCGGTATAAAGACGGGGTCACCAGATGGAGAGTAAAAAACATCAGACACCAACACCCAGCTGCACCTCCACCTGGCTGGGGGTGGGGGTTGGTGCAGTGACTGTTTGTGGTCAACAGGGGGCCCCCCAAACCATGTGGGGCCCCATGCAAATGTGCCTTATTCCACACTCACAGTCCTTCAGACAGGCAGTTTTACTGCTTTTGGACTCTACTGTCTCCCTCAGTTCTTAACACCACCATCACAATCTACACTTCCAGCTACTGACCAGAGAAAGCATGAAGATAGCCGGGCATCAGCCACGGGCATGCCGCTACAGTCCGGGGACTTGCCGATGGCACGGGATGCTGACAGCTGTAAGCTGCCATCGATGAAGCGCCGGTATTAGCCCTCCCAGCAGGTAGGGGGCAGTCAAGGCCACGGTGAGAGGGAGTGCAGGTTCTCTCATTATCTACTGCCCCAGAAAAGGCACGTCAGATACATTAATGGCCCCGTCATTGGCCCGCAGATGCTCTCTCCTTCACGGCCACTTGCACAAGCAAGACAGGCCACACCTTCCCCCTCCAGGGACGGGCCACGCCGTGCTGTCGGACATCTTCACCCACACCCGCCCACATCTCCACGGATGGGCAGAGAGGGCACAGCACACCCACAGTCACTGCAGTTATTTAGCAGACACTTATCCAGACAGCTGGAGGAAATGTGGGTCATAATCAGGGGACCAAAGGTGAAATTACACTGGTGACACTAGGATTCGACCTAGCCACCTTCCGATCACAGGCAAAGCATCCTAACCCAGAGAGCCACACAGCACCCCCACCTAACTAACAATACGGCTGTCAGTGTTTCTGTGTTTAAAGAAGAGGAAAGCTGGTCTCAGTTTGCGGATAAGGGGTTCCATCCCACCTGATATGTCTCGCACCGACTCAGTGGGTTCTCGGCCCATAATCGCTGGTGCCTGGCTCAGAGCCCTAAGCGCTGGTGTGAAGGAGACCCAGTGAGACTGGAATAGCGGAGCTGATCACAGATAAACATCTAAACCTCAGCACCATGACTAGCCATGAGCAGATAATTCATGATTAATACAGAGAGTTCTTGGCAGCATGACGGCTTAGTGGGTAGGGGTGAGGGTCAAATCCCCCTCTCGCAGCATGATGGCTTAGTGGATAAAGGTAAGGGTCAAATCCCCATCGCGCTTGCTATGGGTGTGTATTACCCAAAACCAAATCTCAGTTGGTGGTATTGTCTAGGAGGCCGATTCCTATGACAACAACAACGCAATAAATTTTTTATAACACGTTTGAGTACAAGTGGCACGTGGGATAAATGCGACACAATCCCAGCATCCTTTAACTAGTCTATAGTGAACTGAAACAGAATTGCCATATTTACATTTATGCCTTGATCATAATAGGTGCTCTGTAAGTGCTGGACTCGTGCTGGGGAGATTATTGCCCCCACTGGCAGAACCATGAACTGCAGGCCGACTTTGCCCAAGCCAGGAGCTGCTTGAGGTTACCCAGAGTGCCAGGTTAAACTACAATATTAATATGTTCTTGTGACTGCACAAGTATTTTGGTCCCCAATCAAGACCGAGGCCAGGACGGTCACGTCCACATCTACAGTAGCTTTTTGTCTGAGGAGTTTATTTCACAAACAGTGCTTTGCGTTCTTCCAGTGACCCAATTAGGCTGAGGAATTTGTTCCTTTGCAGTTCCCATGGAGTGAACCCCTCTTTGCAGACATACCGTTTCCTAAACTTCTAAACAATCAGCAGGCTTTCAGAAGAAAATGGAGCCTCTTTCAGATGAAAGGGGGCTGCTCCTCCACGGCGCCTTGCGTTTCATATCACACCGGGAACAGCAAAGCACCCTCACCCTCAGCAGACACTCGCTGCCGTAAACAGGACTCCAAACAAACCAGCCTTTCTGATTGGTCTGAAATCGCTGCAACTACACATTCTTGTGGTCAAAGTGGAACAAATAAACTATCCGGCGGCCAAACAAACCATTCATCAAAGAAACAAAGTAATTCCCAGTGACACGGAGGCTTTTGATACGTGTTCCTGTAAAGGGGCTGCTGTCACTACATCATGGGTTCCAGATCTGCACGGTTTAACTGCTGTCTGACACTGTGGAAGGCGTGTGGCTCACTTGATACTGTGCTAGTAATCAGAAGGTTGCTGATTCAAATCCCTGGGTTAAAAGACTGATTTCACAGTTGGGCCCTTGACCCACAATTGACCCAGACACTGGTTGACCTTGCTTTCTCAAAAAATACAGTGTGTTAGATACAAGACAAACCAAGTAACTTGTTAAAACATCAGTCCTGATGGGTTCATTACAGAACAGCGATGCTTGACTATTTCCCCACATGGATAAATATTTTTACCCATCCCCTCTTGCTCTCTGTGAGACACACTGACAGGCGAGAGCAAGCTTGGGGGGCCCTGGAGCTGGGGATTAAGGGCCTTGTTCAAGGGCCCAATGGAGGCATCAGTAGGGCGTCTTTGGGATTTGAACCAGTGACCTTCCGATCACTGAGCCATACATCACCG